TCCCAAACCCTTAGTTTGAGTTCATACATACCTGAGAGTATGCCTGAATCCCTCAAACTAAGGATCTGATACCAACTTGCAATGTCCCAAAATTAAGGCCAAAATTTTCATTTTTTTGAATTATAATATAAACCATCCTTCGAAACATATCCATAAACCATAATAATCAAGTTTGATAAAAACATCCAAATACATCAGAGTAAGGTAAAATGCGGAACATCATGGTGTGTGTGATGCGATCAGCTCGAGCTCTTCCCCTTGGATTCGGAAGTAACTGAAACATAAAGTGAAAACTGTAAGCACAAAGCTTAGCGAGTTCCCCAAATTACCACATACCACACATATCAAACATATAATGGGCCCCGCCCGACATCGAGCCCTGTTCGGAATAGATCTGTCAATCATCAGGTCCCACCTAGCATCGGGCCCTGCCCGGTATACATACAAACAAATAAACACATGCAAGAATCACAAAGATAAATAGCATACAATATAATCATCATGCCCGGCCCGTCATCGGGCTCCGCCCGATATACATATCAGATATCATACATGCAAGAGTCACGCAGACAACTAGCATTCTAATCAAAATAAACTATGGGTCGGTATTGATTCCTTCGACACGCCCAACACAGTGAGGAAACTCACCTCAAGCTGTCGAATCTCTCAGATAAAATCTCGGTCTTCTGATCCGGAAAATCCTCGTGCTAACACCATCAAATAATATCCAATTAATTATTGGATCTGATCCCATATTCAAGAATCCAAATTACTTTTCGAACATCCAGGGTAAAATACCATTTTTACCCTTTTCTTACTTGGCCTAAAACCAAGGTCCAACCCATTTGCTCAAAAAGCTTAAATTCCTGAATGGCATCCCAAAGCCCAATATGGCCCAACTTCCTAAAATGGGCCCAAAACCCATCATGTCCTAAATCCAAGAAAGCCCATAGCCTAGAAATGGCCCAAAGTCATAAGTCTAATGGCCCAACAAGGCCCAAACCCTAAAAGTCCAAACTATGACCCAAACTCGTGAAAGTCAACCGAAAGTCAAACTATAGAGTACGCTTGGCGTACTCAGACTTACTTTCAGAGTACTCCTTGCAGTGCCAGTACATGCAACGTACGAGCTGGGTACTCCCCACGTACACCGTAGACGACCAAACCAACCCATTAAGAACTTAATCGGTTAAGCCATTAAGCCAAACTTTCATATCTGATTCGAAATGGTGACGTAACACGTAAAGTTGGCAACTTTACTCTCAAAAGAACTTTATTAAGGATCCAAACACATGCATGGACCAATATATCTCATAAAGGTTGCATTTTTATGGACAAGGGACCTCAAAGGTGATAAGATCTAACATCCATGGCTTCTGGAGTAGACCTTAATCTCAAATATGGCTTAAAGGACCCAAAAATGCACAAATAACACCCTAAGTTGGATCTAGCAAAGAACCTTCAAGTTAAGAGCTTTTTACCTCAAATAGCTTTCAAAGTTGAAGATGGCTCTGGATTTACAAGCTTAAGCCACTCCCAACCAACCTCCAAGTGTTATTCTTCCTTCACTTTACCAAAAACACCACCAAAACTCACTTCGAAGCTCAAATCCCACAAATGGAAATTAAGGTTTCGATCATAGGGTATAGAGAGATGGAGACTATTCATAAGGAGGTACAAGGGTGTCATAAGTTGTTTAAATACGGCACAAACCCTAAAAATTAGGGTTTGCCTTTGCATTGTGTACGCCCTACATACTCCCATCGTACATGGGTGCATCCACGATCCAACCAACGAGCTAGTACGCCCCGCGTACTGAGCTAGGGACTAAAATGAGAGAAATTTACATTAAGGGTTAAAAAGGAACATATCTCGAATGTTACACCTTTATACGTCTTAGTTTAGAAACTATACTAGACTACAATCCCTATAATCAACATCCAATACCAACTCTATTTAGACAACACTATCCTAATTTAGTGTTAATATATAATACAGAGTATTAGGTATTTAATATACATTTAATATTTTAAGTAATAATACTTCTATTAAGATCATCATATAATAATATCATATATACATCTTAACACATATATAACCATATTTTCTTTGCACAATGCATGTCATCAAATATACATCTAACAAATATTCCATATAATAAACATTTAATTCACATATCAACATTCCACATATATTAAATACTTTTAGTAAATACTTGTATTAAAATCATGTTCATGAAAGTAACTATGCACTCACTTGATTGGGATGAAAGATCCACGGGAACACAAGTTCCTCGGCTAATACTTCAACTTATCCATTTTAAACAATCTAAATATGAATTTTAGTTTGTTTCAATATTTGTTCGTATTTATTCTGGATTCTTTAATAATACCAAGAAATACTTCAAGTTCGATCAAATAAGGAACAACCATGTAAGATCATATCAGAGGTAGGATCCATTTGATATACATAGTATACTGTTTGGAAAATCTACTTTAAACATCTCACTAGATCTAGCCTAGATATCACTCCCGTAAGTAGATCAATCAGTATTATGAATAGAATTACTGAAAAATCTAATTTATAAATGCATAATAATGGCTATGAATATAAATATAAGTGACACTTAAAGCGTAGTCAGTTCAGCTTAAATTATAGAGTTTCTAGCGAAAAGTTGGAAAGTCGCAGGCATAACTTCGACTCTGAATATTTCTATTCGTTTGGAATTCCACACGACCACACCTTGCTAAAATGCCTGAGACTAGAAAGTCAGATCCCAAAGGTTTGAGATAGAGTTTGAGAGAGAAAGAGTGAGAGAGAGAGAGAGATTAGAAGTAAGGTGTGAGCAAATGAGTTGATTTTCGCTGCTATTTATAGAATGCTCGAGGGTGTGCACCCTATCACTATAGGCGCTCCACACTTCATCGATGCGGCCGGTTCTATGCGGTGCCATCTTTCATGCACTCTATTGTACTATGTCATTTGGTCGGTGGAAGGAGAGGTTGTTGTCTTTGCTACGTGGCGCGCTCTCAGGCCTCCATGCCATCACAGACACGTAAATTCTCATATTTTCGAAAAATCATATATCTCACATACGAGCTCCCTGTTCGATGTTCTTTATATCCATGCGTTTGTATCGACGAGTACTATAACTTTCCTTTATATCTCAATAGCTAATTCTCAATCTATTTTAACTTCATATTTTTATAGAGATTACACTATTAAAATTCGTGCAAAAATCATAACTCCTTCATACAAACTCCGTTCTTGACGTTCTCTATATCGATGAATTCGTATTATGAGTACTTCAACTCCTGTTTACATTATTTTAGCTAACAATCAACCTATTTTCATTTCAATTTCTGTGTTGCATACTATTGTACTGTGTCACACTGAAACTTCGAAAAATCAAAAACTTCCTCACACGAAGTCAGATTTAAGCATTCTTTATATGCACATTTGTGAGGCAACAACCGACTCGTATCATGGCAAGGTTATCCTCAAGTTGTGCAACACAATGATATTCTTCAAGAAAGATGACATGTTCTGCAAGAATGATGACATATTCTGCAAGACTGATGACACATTCTTCAAGATTGATGACAAATTCTAAAATAATATATTATATATTATAATTTTTGTATATTCTTTAAGAATGATGATAGATTCTTAAAGAATGTAGTATAGAAGGTTGTCTGTCATCTTCAAAATGTTATATATATTTTCGGTTAATGTTATAAAAATGGTTGTTTTATGTTATAAGAATGGTTCTTATTTTTGTAATATAAATTCTTGATTCTACTACAATACATTTATCTTAACGAATAATATGTTATTGTCTAATATATGCATGTATATTTTTTAAGAATGTTAATTCAAAAAATAAAATAAAATAAAATCAAATCAAATAAAACTCTTTAAATGAATCATATTCTTTAAGAATGCAAGAATAAAAATATGTGTTCATATATCTTGAATGATGTCGTATTAAAAAAAAACCGATTTAATTTGAATGATTTGAATAAAAATAAGATTATATTAGATTTGTATTAATTAATTTGATCTGATAGCCTAAAATGTAGGTAATTTGAATTCATCTTTCTTGATAAAATGTCATATGTGACTTTATAATTAATTAAATATAAATATATAGTAACGCTAGTCCATGTTAAGATTATGCACCATAAGAATCCATCTTTTCATTTTTTTTAATCTAATCACTATAGTTATGTTATACATTCATAAAATATTTGTGATTCATATTTAATCATAACATTATATATATATATATATATATATATATATATATATATATATATATATATAAAGTGAAAGAAGAAGAGAATGAAAGCGGGGTATGATCCACGATAGGGGTAAGAAGCACAGGGTTTGCCGCTTGGGCCTGATTCCCACTTAGGCACCTAAGCACCCTGCACCCCTTCGGGGAAGATATATGTGTATAACACTTGGCCTACTAAGCCTAACACATGTTGTTACGAATGTGGGTTAGGAATTGAGACAAATGGTAATATCTTGGAAATGGTGGGTGCTTCTCAAGCCTAATATGTTCTATCATGTATTTCAAACTAACATTAAGTCCTTAACCAACATGCTTTTATAATTTAAAAAAAAAAAATCTTTTATCGACAAGCAAAGCCTTAAGAAGTCGTTGTCATCGTTGGTTTTTGTGGCGTGACATGAGAGTTATAATAAGCCGACACATGCCACTAAGAATTTGAACATATTGTAGAGAAACTTTTATACCACTAGCCTTATCTTATTTGTCCAAAATAAAATAAGATTTAAATTCATTGATTTTCATAGTAAATGAATTATAGATAGTGTAGCTACGGTAAACTAATGAGAGAGATATATTAGTAATAGTGTTATATAGTCTACAAAACCTTCTGCATATATTTTCGATAATTGACAAATATATAGTTTATACGATACAAATAAGCAATTAATGCATGTTATCTGCAGTTTTCAAGTTACTCCTCCTAGACGGAACTTTTCCTTTTATTCCGATGGCTGTTCTTTGAAGAATCCGATGAAGATGAAGATGGTGATGGTGATGATCGTTTTTTTGTGATATATCTTTGTGGATTTTCATTGTGTGATTCGGTTAAATGAGGGAAATTCAGCAAAGCATGAGATCCACGGTGCTTAAATGCTGCTCGATCGTACGCCATGGCTGCTTCCTCCGGCGTCTCATAAGTCCCAAGCCATAATCTTGACCCTTTCTTCTCCGGATTCCTCATCTCTGCTGTGTACTTCCCCCACGGCCGTCGTCTCACTCCTCTATACTTCCTCTCAGGCTGTGATTGTAATGGGGGAGCTTCAAAATTCTTAACTTCATCAGAATTAAAGTCCTTCACACATGGCGGGGATTTCTGATCCTCCCCACTTGAAAAAACCTCCTCGCCAAACGTTACCACGTTTCCTGTTGAGAAATCCCACTTCAACGGCATGCTTGTAGCTGATCCTAAGCAGGTACCGGTAAGATCGCTGCTAGTCGCCGGAATGTCTGCTGAAATATCCGGCAACTCGTTAATGGTTATGGCAAGAATAGGATTTGAATTTTTTGGGATTTGAACAATATCGCCATTGTAACCATCTAATAAGCTAGAGATCTCAGAGTCATCCAAATTTGGCAATGGCCAGATCGGATCATCCATAAGATAGCTGGAACTCCGGCTATATGACTCACCGGAGCAAGAGTTGGCTGCAAAAAGAGATGATATTTCTTGATCAATATTTATCGAGGACTCTTCAGAGATGGCCGGAATACTCATATCATTATTGGAAACCATAAAACCGGATGGGTCGTGCAAGAAATTATCGGGATGATCATGATCATCAAGAAGATAATTACTAATGGATTCGAGAAAAGTATCAAAATCGACTTGCTCTTGTTCATACATTGTTATTTGGTTTATTTAGGGTTTGAACAAGATAGCAAGCAAGAGATGATGGCAATGAAACATGAGTTCAACCACACTTGGTCTTATATACATGGAAAGAGAGAGGCTGCGCCGTCACTTTAGTAGATTTTTTTTGAAAAAAATAGAGACCAGGTACTTTTAAGAACCAACGTCATCAAATCAACCAATTGGATATTTTTAAAATATAACATTTTTCATTTTTAGTCTCTTAGTTATATAGTAACTTTACATACGTCTCTTATTTTATTTTAATTTTGTTTTATTTAAAATAAGTTATTACTATTTCTTTATGGATACTAAACATTATATTATTAAATTTTTTAAAATATAATTTATTTGATGATTTAGATAATGTTTTCATTAAAAAACCATGTTTATATTTTTTTTACTTAAAATAACATCTTCAAAATTGTTACACATAATATTAATATACAAGCTAATAATAATAAATATTTTATAAGTCTAAAAGTTAGTCCGTGGCAGCCCTATACATGCCAAGTTGCATTGTGCGTTTGTTTTATACGACTTAATGGCGGTTGTCCAAAGCAAAGAATTATTTTTATTCAAACAGGTGAAACATTCATCCCATAACTCCAAACTCCAAGGGCTGCATGGTATACACATTACAGCATAACACTCATCTCAAGTCTAAAGACTATTTTGAGATGATTTTCCCAAAAAACTACTCATAATCCCAAAGAACTTTTAAAATTTTAATATATATATATATATATATATATATATATATATATATATATATATATATATATATATATATAGAGAGAGAGAGAGAGAGATCCATCTCAACATAACACATAGGATGAGGTGTTCACTTGTGTTATGAGTGGCTGTGTTAGTATAATGCTTTCAATCTTTATAAACCTCCTACATCTTTTGAGAATAATTAAGTGGGGTCAATGACATATTAATCAGTGATTATGTTCATCTGAGTTCTATGACGGGGATGCAACGTATCATAAAATAGATGGTGAATCAACCATTCAAAACCGTACGACCGTCGATCCAAATTATTCTCACATTGACGTGCCGGTTAAACATACATGTTCCATCAACAAAATTATTTTTCCAAGTGTCATATCATTTCCAACGTACACCCTCGCATTAATGTCTCAGTTAACCACACACGCTCCATCAACAAAATATGAAGAAAATATGTGTTTTCATGGGTAGCATACGAATCACATTTTCAATAAATTGCAATTTTGATTTATAATAACCTTTCATTCCTTTTACTACTTTAGTTAATATTGTTTAACTTTCAAACAATTATCCTATTAAACCCCTTTGGTAACTCCAATCTCAAAATACAAAAGGGCAATGAGGGTGATAAGCATAATGGATTTAAAAACCGACTTCATTCAGAATCTAAGAGATCTCCTTAAACCTCTCTCATAACATCAGATTGGATGAGCCTTGTACCGTCCGGTCTCTGGTATGTATTTTAATAAGAATTATTCATTTTTACAAAGGGACTCGACGAGTTGGAGGCCCCAAACTCGTCGAGTAGGAATGAGATTTTTAGACGCGGGACTTGAAGTCTACTCGACGAGTTGAGAAGCCTCGACTCGACGAGTAGAGCTGCCAGAGTGAAACCTTAATTTTCAGGGTTTGCACCCTATTTAAGCAACTTAATACTTCATTGTGGCCTCCCCTCATCGCCTCCCTCAGTCCAGCAAAACCCTAATTCGTGATCTAGAGCCTTTTGAGTGTGTGTGAGTGAAAAGAGAGTGATTCTTTGGTAATTCCTTGAAGGAGTGGAAGCTTGAAGTGCTTGGTTGAAGGAGGGAGCTTTGGATCTAGATATTTTGTTGTCAAAGCAACCTTATTGAGGTATAAAGTCTATACCTTGACTATTCATTTACTAGATCTCTTCATGGGGTAGTTTAGGGCTTTAAGGAGCATATTTCGGAACCATTCATGGATGCAAGCATGTTTGGAGTCATCACTTCAGATCTGGAGCCTTTGAGGGACTCCATGCCATAAAGGTGCCAACTTTATGACCATGGGAGTCCCATGCAACTTGTGAACCACTTTGTAGGGCTTTTTGAGCCAACTAACCCATGCATGGACGTAAAGTTAGAAACTTTACGTGATATATCGACCCTAGGGAACCAGATCTATGATTTGAATGCAGTAAACCCGACTAGAAATGACTGTATGGATTTAGACTATGGGGGACTCGACGAGTTGTTCATACAACTCGGTGAGTTGGTTCGTGGTCCCCCAACCTTTTCTGTTACTGAGCAAACTCGTTGAATCTAGAAGACGACTTAGCGAGTTGGTCATGGTTTGGATTATGAAGATTGAGGAACTCAACGAGTTCAAGGAAGGACTCGGCGAGTTGTGGGTAAAAGGTCTCGACTATACTATGAGGATGAACTCGACGAGTTCATGAAAGGACTCGACAAGTAGGATCGAGTTTTCAGGGTTTTATGGATTATGGAACTCGACGAGTTGATGGACCAACTCGGCGAGTTGAGTCAACCAGGATGTTGACTTTGACTTTGACCATTGACCAGAGTTGACCCATAAAGGGGTTATGAGTATGAAAGAGTAATTTAAGGAGATTGTTATGTGTAGGAGTTTGAGAGGAGTTGATCCCAGAGCTGAGGACAGTTCAGCTACTTCACGACATTGAGGTGAGTTACCTTCCAGTAGAAGTGGGTCGAAGGCACCAATGCCGGCTCACTAGTAAGACTTATAGTAGAGATTATTGTCTTTGTGATAATTATCTTGTATGCCACTAGCTGTTATGCTTTATGTGCTAGTATGCTATGATGTTATGTGATAGTGGTAGGGGTAGGATATGCCCCAATACCGGTCGATAGGGCCGAAGGGGTATGCCAGCACCCGGATAAGCTAGACAGTATATGACTTATATGTTTATGCACTAGGATGCTATGTGGAAGAAGTAGGGGGTGAAATAGTCCCCGATACCGGTCGAAATGACCGAAAGGGTATGCCAGCACCTTGATATGCTAGGCGAGGTACCGGTCGACAGGACCGAAGGGGTAGGCCAACACCATGATATGTTAGGCAAGTTATCGGTCGACAGGACCGAAGGGGCAGGCCAGCACCCTGATATGCTAGGCAAGTTACCGGTTGAAAGAGACCGAAGGGGTAGCTAGTACCTGGATATGTTAGACAGTATGTGTTATGTATCGTATGTGGTATGATGGGGGAACTCACTAAACTTTGAGCTTACTGTTTTCAGTTTTGTTTCAGGTCCTTCTTCTTCGAAGGGAAATGAGTCGGAACGGTAGCAACGCATCACACACACGATTTTCCGCATATGAGATTCTTGGGATTTGTACTCTGACATTGTTACTATATTATGACATGCTTTTGAGACACATGATCTATGGTTTTATAAAATGAAATAACTTGATGATGTTTTCTATAAGTTGTTTTATGAATCGTTATATCAAAAATGAAATTTTTGGTCATGATTTTTGAGATGTTACAAGTTGGTATCAGAGCCTTGGTTTGACGGATTCGGACACACCTTCGGGGGTGTCTGGACTCAAATCGAGGGTTTGAAAGATTTTTCAAGAAAATAGTTTTTCTAAAATTTAAAATAAAGAGTTTTGAATAAGAACAAGGTGTGTGATGCGTGCAATCAGTCGAGCTCAAGTAAGTTTTCCCCAAGATACCCATACATGTATGTTATGATATTTGAGATGATTATGAGAAGTGCATGCTAGATTAGGGCTGAGGATCTAGGAAGGATGCCTTATATGCCTATTGTATGTGTATGAGAACTGCATGCTAGATTAGGGCTAAGGATCTAGGAAGATGCCATATGTGCCTGCTATATGTGCTTATTGAATTACATGCTAGAACTGATTAGTCAGTAATATGATGGCCTGAATAGGATATGGTTGGTTTGGTTACTCAATGCTCGAATGCTGCTTTCTTTGTGCTTTTAGGAATTCTAGTTATCTTTAACTAACTAGTAAACGAATACGGTAAGTTACATATTGCGAGGACTAAATAATTTCAGAAGGTTAGGTCTAGCCCTATTTCGCAGCTCTTGTTTGAGTCTAACCGTTGTAGGATAGGACCTCTCATTCGAAGAATTATCTGGTCTTAGTGATATGTAATGGTATTCGCAAGCTAGTTAGGTAAAGGTAGTAGGAATTTCTTATGCAGCTGATGGCGGACAGTAGGTCGGAGAGTTACCCTAGGGTAAACCTAGGATGAGATTAGTACAGCGAGCAGTAGTAGTAGAAGGGACTTGGTGAAGTTAAGGAAATCCTTGAGGATAGTACGGATAGATGTGGAAGGTAGTATGGGCCCGTACTACTGAAAGTAGAGGATCCGTACTCGAGTCAAGGAGGGCTGAGATAGAACCAAGGAACTTGTAGAGTGTGTGAGACCTCTCGAGGTTATGTATGATCCTGACGATTATATGTTTTGTTTCAGAATGGTGGTGACACGTTACGGAGCGGGAGGCTCAAGGTCTGGGTCAGGATCAGGATCAGGTTCGGGTTCGGGTTCCGAGCCGGTTGATGATGGATTGCAAGCGTTCATTGCATCCGAGATTATGAGAGGCATCCTTGAGGCGTCCCCGATGATTTTCGGGTCGATCAAGGAAGGGATCATTGAGCTGATGGAGGATCACCTCAGTGCGTTCAAGAGCGACATGGCATCTGGCCTGTCAGGGACACGCACACTCTCCTTCAAGGATTTCAGGGGATGTGGTGCGCCAGACTTCCACGGGGTGAAGGACCCCATTGTAGCCAGGAGGTGGATTGCAGACATCGAGTCTGCACAGTTGACGAGCTTCTTCCCTGAGGGGTCGAAGGTCCGGTATGTTGTAAGGTGTTTGAGGGACAGAGCTAGAGATTGGTGAGAGGCAGTCAATGATTCGTTGGGAGCCCCAGCCATTGAGGCTATGACTTGGTCCGGCTTTGTGACCAGGTTTAGGGCTGAGTTTGCACCAGCTGTGGAGATCC